AAAAATATCTCGGGAACCTAAGCATTTTAATAATAATAATACGTATTATTTATGTAGCGCCGATATCCTTACAGTTCAAAGGCGCTTCACATGATCACGGATCGCTATTAGCAGCCACGAGGCTTACAATCATTTTTGGGAACATTCTCGATCTTTTGTACTTTCACGATGAGAAATCACGATACAAAAAGCGACAAAAACACTCGAAAACTAGCGTAAAAAAACTGGCTTATGGGGTTTCGCCCGGGGGGGGGGAGGGGGGAATGGGCACCTTTGGAATTGACTCATACATTATTTTCTTTGGTAATTCATATTCATTATGTCATTGAGTGCAGGGGGATTTTTCCGTTTCATGACTCAACTTGTTTATCACAACCCCAAACTGCGTCGTGTCTCAGCGCGATTTTACATACATACATTTTACATGTATAACGAGGCATTTGACAAAATCCAGGATAGAGATATATTGACAAAAAGGAATTTCTATACTTGAGTCAACATTAAATGCCATGTACAGCAGTCTCTTCCTAGTAGGCACAGCAAGTGACTGCAAAACGCCAAAACCCCGACTGCCTTTGTAAAAGGTCTTCGTTTTGTATCCATCCTGAAAGGATAATTTTGTCAGTCGCAGTGAATTTGTTTAGCCTTACTTGGCGAGGAAGAATGCTTAATGAAGTCGCTTGGACGTTCCGCTAGTGGCGATTGCTCCATCCAAAAAGCTACAGCCATAAACAAATCAGGCTTCAAAATGCGACGAGGTTCTCGATTCCCTTGTCTTGACGCCATTTTTTGCTTAACAAGGAAAGTGATCCACTACCACGAGGAATAGTACGACAACAAAGAGCAGTCTAATCGATTTCTTAGAACCTTTTCCTTTTTTTGTAACATACAGGGGATTCCCCAGTTAATATTTAACTTTTAAACCAGACGGGATTCCTGCGCTTCATTCAGCTGACTCCTCGGTTTGCTGGCTCATTCGTTCAAGATGGCGGCCACGTCACCTTCAGTCCCACAGCTGTTTACAGAATTACAGCGATTAGGCAAGGAAGGGAACTTTTCCAAAGCACAGAAGATAGCAAATAAAAGTAATAAAGCTATCTATAGTTTATCTGACTTATATACGATGTAACATTTTATCATTGTTCCTTAGTTTTGCAAGAGAATCCAAAAGATGCCGATGCGTTCCATTGTAAAGTAGTCTGTCTTGTTCAGCAATCATGTTTTCGTGAAGCTCTCGATGTTGTTAACTCAGGATCCAAGAAAGGGTAAGAAAGAAACAACTGTTGTTGATGWTTTTTTTGAATGTTGAAAGATAATTTACTAGGTATTGGCTAACAAAGCTGGGAGCGATTATTAGAATACCCATCCATTTTCCTAGTCTCCTCTCGCAGCCGTTAGGACGTTGCGAGAGGAGACTACCATTTTCCAAGCATAAGGAAAATGACTGTTCCCATAGTCCCGCAGTGATCGCAAAGCATAATGGTCGATATTTCGAAAAGCATCATGGTCGATAGTTTGCTAGTGAACACTTAARAACGAGAAAGCATCATAATTGAGTGCTCCAGCAGTCAAGCAATCCTGCAGTGATCGCAAAGCACCATGGGCGATAGTTTACTAGTGAACTCTTAAGGTACTTGTTCTGGATAAAGTGGGGGTCATTTTAAAATTATTTTCAAAAAACCAAAGTCGTTTGTCGAAATAATTGTGTGATGGATCCAATGTCTATGAAATTTCTTTCGAAATATGTTGCTTCAGGGGTGTCAAGTGTGAAAATACGCAGGAAACCCAAGCCAACTTTTAGTGAAAAATCGCGATATCATGACTGTAAAAAACGCAATAAACTTGAAACTCAGCAGTAATATACCATTTAATATAAGCATTAAAAATTAGCCAGCCCGGAGAAAAAAATTGTATCATTTTGGCGAAATCGATGTTTCGTCTTTGGAAGGCCATGGAAGACAAACCATATGACGATGAACTCCGGGCTGGCTAATTCTCAAAGTACAACATGTGTTAGCTCTGTTCCAAATATCTTTTTAAAGTCTTAAATACAACTCAAGTTATTCAAGGACGCGTGCTTGCTGTTGTCGATGTGGGGTGTTTAAACCTAGTTTAAACTGAGAGAAGTCGCACACGTCTTCAGCAATGGCGATCATTTTGTTCCTCGTGTTGTATTTCAAAACAGTTGACGACTTTGTATTGATTTGAGGACGAATACTAGTCGAAAACGCCAAAAATTCATCAGAATCAAATCGTTCCTGGCTTCCCGGGAAAATCCGGACAAATAAATGATGTAATCCATAGCAATACTCAACTGAGCATGAGTTTCATGTAACACAAGCTTGTATGTTTTGCGATTTAAGATGACCACTAAATCATTTAAAATACTCATTATTTTGATTCTAATGAAAACTTCTAGCTACATTGTATGGAAAATGTCCACTGTATTCGAAACTGGAGAATTCAGAGCAGCAAAAAGCAATCTTGTAACCAAATACTCGCGTGTTCCAGGTACTGAACGCTGGTACTTTGACCTCTAAAATGATCAAGCTGAGAAGCCGTTATCTCGTGTTTCACAAACAGAGCATCATATTTTCCCGCAAATTCATGCCTGGATACGAAGTTCTGGGTCGTTTTTCTCATGAAAAAACAACATTTTGATGATTAAAAACATTCCTTAGTTATTATGTGTACCTAAAAGAATCTGATTAATGCTAAAAAAGTTGGGTATTTTTTTGAACGTTTATCCAGAACAAGTACCTTAAGAACGTGAAAGCATCATAATTGAGTGCACCCGCAGTCACGCATTCCAGCAGTAATCGAAAGGCATCATGGGTGATAGTTTGCTAGTGAACTCTTAAGAACGAGAAAGCATCATAATTGAGTGGTCCCACAGTCCCGCAGTGATGTCGGTTGAGCTTAGAGAGCGCATACATCATGAGAATCAGGAGAGAAAATTTTTGAACGTTATTGTTTAAGTGGAAGCTATGGACTTAACATAGGCAACAAACACTGGAGATATGAAGACAAGGAGTTATTGATTTAGTGGCTAATGAAGGAAGGCATGATCGCCCAGTCGCAAATATGCAACTTATGCGGATTGGAAATGAAGTTATTGAAWTGTGAAGACAGATCTGATGGTTACAAGTGGGAGTGTAGAAAACAATTTGAAGGAAAAAGACACAAAGTCGAGAAATCAATACACAAAGGAAGTTGGTTCGATAAAAGTAACATGACGCTTGAAGAAATTTTGAAATTTACGTATTGGTGGTGTCAAGATCTGGACCAAGCACAGATTAGACATGAACTTGGAATTTCAAGCAACGCAGCTGTAGACTGGGACATGTTTTGTCGTGAGACATGCGAAGTAACACTCGAGAACCGAAGTAGTTCAAATTGACGAAAGTAAATTTGGGAAGCCGGAAAGTAACATCAAGGACATAGAGTAGAAGGACAGTGGGTGTTTGGTGGCATCGAGAATGAAAGTAGAAAGTGCTTTGTGGTTGCAGTTGAAAAAAGAGACGAATAGACTTTGTTAGCAATCATTAAGAAATGGATAGAGACAGGAACACTGATTATTTCAGACTGTTGGAAAGCCTATATTAATTTAGAAAAACATTGCTATAAGCATAGTACAGTAAACCACTCAAAAGAGTTTGTAAATGAAGCAGGAGAACACGCGAACAAGATCGAGGGCCATTGGAGGCAAATGAAGGCAAAACTGCCTTCCTTTGGAGTAAAAAAGGCTCTGTTTTCTTCGCACCTCGGAGAATTCATGTGGAGATACATGCACAAAGGAGAGGATTTGTTTTGTTGTTTTTTAAATAATGTAAAGAACTTATATTACTGTAAATAAGCAATCAGTGAGTGCAGTTTGAAATGATATTTTATTGTAAATAAAACGATTGTATGTAATAGGCGAATTATGCAAAAGGTATGTGTTTTGATAAAMGTTTGTATACACTAATTGTTATTCGTAATGAAAGTGCTAACGACTGCATGGTTTGCGAGCGTGCAAATATAATGTTAATATGAATGCTATTTTTATCAGGAATAATAAAAGGTATATTGAATGGTATATTTATTTTTAATGGGTTCCTGTGTAGCACTGTGTGACTACGTGACTGCAGGATCACCAAAATAATAAGCCGATTGCGAACACCTGCCGTCATGCTTGTTTGATTGTACAAATTGACAACAGGACCACAATTCAATGCAGGCACTGTGTGACTACGGACTGCAGGAGCAGTGATTATAAGACTCTGTTCGTGTGGACAGGTATTCTATAGTCTAGCCCAAAGCTGACCCCTCGATTAACTATGGGCAAGATAACGCAGAGATTGTGAGAGCTGCTTTTSCAAGATGGTCAGATGTATTTTGAGCATTATATTAACAAATTAGATAAGTTATTTATTAACATGTAAATAGGTGATCATAAAAAAATCATAAAAATAAGATCAGAACAATATTGGAAAAAAAATGCAATTTAACATTTAAATTGGATTAAAAAATAGTATTAACTAACATGATAAGTTGTTAGTGCAAAATGTGAGTAGCTAATGCCTTCATGTATTGAAAGAACAAGTGAATTGGTATWTCATAACTTTGTTTTGAGCTCCTTTGTTGAAGTATGAAATCCACATTGTTCATTGAYTATTCTTCATGCTCTTGATTTGCAGCTTTTCAGAATTATTCCAGTGCTTTTCGTCCAATCACTGTTAAGCTGGTTAAGCTTTATTGATAAAAATATAAGCTTATTAGTTCAGAGAGACATTGAAATTTATAAAAGGAAAAGCTTCAGCTTAAGTTACATGTAAATACAAAGGCAACATAAAGTTCGAAGTGTCTACATACATGCCCCGCTGCTGGGTAAATAGTGGAAGTCAAAATGTCCGTTTGCGAAAAAAAAAAAACAAAAAACAAATTAAATAAATAAAAAAATACAATAAAAATACCTCCTGACAGTGGGCAAAAACTTTCTGAATACATGCATTTGATTAAAATCACTGAATGATAAATTGACACTGAGACAAAGTTGTGATTTTTAACCAATAAATTTGGAAACACACTTACAAATGGATCTGTTTTTGGATATCTTGACCCATTCACAGTGGGCTATTTTTAAAAATATGTCAGGGAAATTTTCAATTTCTGAAAAAGCTATGAAATTTTGATGTATACTCATGCAGAAATTTAATGTTTAATGGTAATGCACAATTCAAGAAAACATTTAATTTGTAATTAATTTATTGCTTTCATTTCAGGATAAAGGAGCTGCCATTTGAGAAAGCATATTGTCTGTACAGATTGAATAAAACAAGTGAAGCACTAGAAGTTCTAAAGGATATTCCTGACCAAGGACAGCGGGAAAAGGAGCTTACTGCTCAAGTGGTGAGAATAACACACTTGTTTTTGAAAATAAAACAAAGATTCATTGTACACTGTACTAAGACTAAAGTTGCAATATGTAAACAAAAACATGAGCAGATGAAAAGGGTTTGATTGAGGCCTTGTTGCTGTAAATTATTAGTGAAAAAAGGTCTGAGCTTTCGCCATCTACGGCTTCATCAGAGACTGACTAAAGAAATGTTATTAAAGTGATTAAAAGAGCGTTTAGAACAAAAGGTTGTCCATTTCACTGGATTCCTCACGGGAATTGAGARATGGTCTTTGTTTTTTTTTATGTAAAAAGCTTCTAATAATCTTAGGTTGACGGGTCTTTTTCATGATTGATTATGGAGACTTTTAACTCATTTTTCTTGGACATGCATGTTCCTAGATGCTTAAAGATGGATGATTTCTGGTTCGTTGTGTGTTCTTTGATGTGGTTGTGGAGGCATCGTATTATACTACCGATGTAGAAACCTTGACATTTGGGACATGTTATTTTGTATATAACACCCTTCTTGAAGCAGAGGTTGGTAGAGGCGATTATGCATCCCTTGAGTTTGCATAGGGCTCTACGTATAGATTGTGATCTGTGTACAACTCGTACGTTAAAACCCTCCTGCTTGAAAATGTTTTTGATCTTAAAATCAATGCTGTCTGATATGTAAGGTGTGGTGAGGTAAAGCCAATTGATGTTTGTCGGTTGTGGCATAGTATGAAGGGCAGATTTAGTTGTGGTGTTGATCGTGGTGCGCTCAATCAGTTGATKTGGGTAAYCATTCTTAGCCAGGATGGTGTCAAATTGCTTTTGGCGYGTTGACTTTCTTGTAGGGGATCTTAGTAGCACTAGGGAGGTCTGACTTGTAGTTTACAAACAGGGGCTTCTTGGCCTTTTTATTGTAGAAATCGAAGGAGCATGTGCTGTTGTTGTTGATGACTACGTTGAAGTCAAGCAGGGACAGCGAGTATCCTTATGCAGTTAGGGTTGGTTTCTCCACTTTGAAATTAATGCAGTCATGTAGGTTGTTCATATCAGCTAAGAAATTCCGGGCACATTCTTCATTGGTAGTTTGTAGATGGATGTCATCTACGTACATGTATCTGCTGTAGTGGCTAATGTGGGCGGATGATGCAAGTGCGATTCTTTTGAGTTTGTCCATAAAGAGTATCGCCAGTATTCCCGAGACGCTAGAACCCATCGGGAGGCCCTTTGTTTGTAGGTAGATGTTGGAGTTGTATCTGAAATATACATTCTCAAGAACCACTGTAAGTAACATTTTTTTTAATAACATTTCTGTAGCCGTAGACTGTGAAAGCTCAGACCTTTTTTCACTAATAATTTACAGCAACAAGGCCTCAATCAAACCCTTTTCATCTTCTCAAACATGCTGCTGAAGGACAACTTCATTCATTTAAAAAACATAAGCTTTGCAATTCGATGTACAACGTTGATAACAATTGGATGAAATCACTGAAGATATATCTTGTTGTAAATGAACAATCTAATCAAGCTACAATCGTTGCCAAAATACCTTGGACCGTGCAATTATTTGTCTCCAGCCTAACATTTTTCTCCTTTATTTTTTCACAGTTTTCCCCCTTAGCCCCATTTCATCAATGTTGGGTCTTGTTTTGGATGCTTGTGTACTATGGTAACATGATCAGTGACAACATTGCATTTAGGGRATCAGGGGGGATGAAATTGTGTGCGGGTGTTGCTTAAAATGAGGAAATTCGCWGGAATGGTCCAAGGATTTTGTCAAGGATTGTAGTCTATTCAGATGTTTTGTTTGTCAAAATTAACATTCTAGCACTTATTACAGCTGTTCGTATTTTAGATTCTCATATCTAGTAGTCTTGTTTTCAGGAAACAAAGCAGACCTGTCTGTTCATTCTCTTGCATCATGACATCTTCAATGATGAGTAATTTTTCAGCATGTCTATAAAGATGCTTTCTTTGATTGGCTGACAATCATGTTAAATATGATCAACTTCTCATCATTTGGTATTTTACAGAAATATACATGCTTTATGAAAGACTAGAATGTCTCAGTATCTCTGATCTCTCTGTCCTCTGATGTAAACATATTGGGATTGCAAAAGCACTTGGAAGCAAAGAATTAACAACCTTAACCTCATGTTTTAAACTTTGTTCCTTTATGCTTATCAGAGACACTGATATAAAAATTGTATTTCTTGATAATTGACATCATAAACATTGCATTTTTTAGTACTATCGTCTTGGGGAGTATGAAAAATGCAGATCCATTTACAAGGATTTAATCAAGAATTCAGAGGTATTATTTTGGCAGTTAGAAAAGATTGGATATATAAATGTAATTATTTATTTAACATATGGCATTTTATTGCTCTATGTGTCCAGTACAATGAACAAGTGAGGAACAAGGGAGTGAGTTTATGATACAAGCAATGAGAGAATAAAAACCCATACAAACCACTTTTAATGCTATAACCTGTTTGTAATGTATAACAAGACTTTCATTTGTCACATTTTGTTCAACTATTTTACAAGCAACAAAAACAAGTTGGTTTAGAAAATTATGTCAAACAAAAGCTTATAAATAAAATTAATGACTAAATCAATTTACAAGTGCATCACTCAAGAAAATAAATTCCATTTAACCTGTTCTACACTACTTTGCAACCTGATTCGCATTCCATACTAACTAGTATTTACTATCACCATCAGATGTTGTGACAATATATTCTTTTATATAGGATGACTATGGAGATGAAAGAGAAACAAACTTATCAGCTGTCATTGCTGCGTCTAACCAGTGGGGAAAGACAAAATTGTTTGTAGGAAAATATCTTTTGTTTTTATTTCCTTACTTTTATTTCTTTGCAAAACACCACAAGCTCAAGGTTACAGCAGTTTATTTTATGTAATGATTTTTGCTTCAATCAGTTTTATCACTACATTCAGAACTAATGTTGACAGGCATGTCAAAGCTGTTGTATGACTAATTACATTTTGATCTGATAAAACCCGTAAATCCATTTAATATTCTAATTAACAGAAGAGGAATTGTAAAATTAGTTTCATTGACGGCATCCTACAAAATCTTTGATTATTTGTGTAAAGTCTAATTTACATGACTGTAGTATACAATTTGCCTACAAAATATTGTAGTCACCATTCATATAAGTCATTGCCAAACTTGCAGTCCTGAAGTCTTGTGCTTCAGTTGTAGGGGCATTTAMACAGCAAGACGAGCTCTATTGAGTTGTACACAACAGTCCAATTGTGTAAATTTGCCTTGACATTCCTTCTTGCACAGCATTGAACAGTCCATAGTAGGTTGTTTTCTGCCAGTCGGCAACAATATAAGTGTATGTCAAAGGCATTAATTTCTTTGCTTATTTCATTAGTCGGAGAGCGGGCTACGAGAAGATACCTACGAGTTGTGTTATAATGCTGCCTGTTTGTCACTGGCAAATAATGATTATCAAACAGCAAGGAGTAAGCTGACTCAAGCTGAAGGTATGTGGACCAMCAACAATAACATTAATTTTGCATGTGATATAATATGTGTTGTTGTTTTTTAGCTCTTTGTCGCAAATCACTTGAAGAAGATCCTGTAAGTACAGTTTATGAATACTCCATTTAATTAGTTCTGTTATGTTAATAATTGGCCAAAACAGCACAACAACAATTAACGGAACATTGATTATAATCTATAATGGATAGTCTTGATAAAGAATGTCCGATCAGTAACATTCTGTTGGTGTATGCATTTTATTASCAATTTTATTGCTAATGTTGTAAAGTGTTTCAGCAGGAAACAACATTGAGAAATAACATATCCAAGTGTGAATCTGATACAACATTAACAATCAAAACATTTGTGCTATATCTGGATTAATAGTGGAGCTCCCGCGCGGGCCAAAGGCCCGCGCGAGCGGAGCACCATAGCYAAGAAAAAATGGTATACCATCGAGTCGATTTTCCATGGACCGACACAGGGTTCCCGCGCGTACGTACGTTTCCTTCCGTCCTTCCGTCTGTCCTGGATTCCGTGTACCACCACAGCAAACCCATACTCCGCTCGAAAAGGAAACAAAGCGCCAAGTATTTGTTGAAAAATCGAAATTTTTTCCTTAAACATTTATATTACATATTGATAATATTAGAACAATTAATCACAAGGAAAAAATCCACTGAAGAGCGAAATAACAGTACAGAAATATTCCCGCCAATTTTGTCATAACTTCGAGATCGACGCGTCCGCACATCCGGGAAATCGATTTGCGAAGATGAAAAAGCAATAGCCGACTTGCGAATTACGCATCAATAGTCACATACAAAGGAATCAAGACGAGGCGCCGTGCTAAAGACAATAGATTTTTCACAAAAAAGCACGGCGCCTCGTCTTGATTCCTTTGTATGTGACTATTGATGCGTAATTCGCAAGTCGGCTATTTAGGCCCATCTTAAAAGTGATATTAGAAAAAAGGATTTTACTTTAATATTTCGACAACAAGAAAGAGATGATACTTTATTGGAAATACTTCAATAATATGGACCAATATGGGAAAAAGCAGGGATCTATGCGAAGTTCTTTTGTCGACTAAAAGTTTGGACATTTCGAAACCAAGACCATACTAGCAGTTAGATTGAGAGAGATTAAAAACAAAGAATCTACAGTCTTGAATGACTTAATAAATTGATGAAACCTATGCTTGAAACAGCTATGGCTCTGTTGAAGATGACCTTTGAACGATAATTTATCGGAAGTTCGATAATGAAGGTAAAAAAATATATTTTTGTATACAGTTTTCTGTGATATGTGAAGTTCGAGTAATCCGGGTTCAAACATCGATTATTGAAACAATGTTGATTATTGTAAGCTTATGTAGACTATTTTTTGCCGAGAAGCTTTCAGTTTACTTTTAATTATAATTTTAAACTTCATCCAACGGAACAAAATCTACCGAAGTCAATATAAGCTTAATAGTACGAACTAAATTCTCATAAACATACTCTTTATAATATTTGTTCTCATGTCAACAAAACTGTAGTCTCCTCGCAGCCKTGTTTAGTTTCGGTCACAGAGGTTGCGTGACGCGTGACCGAAACTAAACWCGGCTGCGAGGAGACTARCAAAACTGTTGTAGCTCACATTCCTTAGAACAGAGCATCTTCCTTTGAAATAGCAGTAGTAGATAATCATTTTCAGCTTCTATATTGCTAAGCTATTGGAGCTCCGCTATTAGGTGTTACCTAATTTTTATATTAGTTGCTTTGTAATTAAGTATACATGGACACTGGGGATACTGGGGACAAACGCACTGTGCATGCAATCTCGTACCCAGAGTCCGCACTTTTGCCATCCAGCGGATTCCTCTGGAGGAATCAATTTTTTCTCAATTTCTGATTGGCTGTAAATGACACGAGCGTGYATTGTTCTGAAGCAACCATGAAAAAAATGAAAAAAGCGAGCAGAGTAGCCCTGGGAACGAGGTTGGTTCTGAAGTTGGTTTTTCAAGTCACCAGCGCACGCTCGCCTGTTTGGTCAAGAAAATCATCCTTTTTTGGCATAACCACGTGTTACATGTAATATCGTTTTTAAACTAAGTTGTTTGCCGAGYCTTCTTATTTTTTGTCATTTCAATGCTCTAAAAGCAGAAAACAAAACTGTCTCAGACCTCATTTGCATAATTTGCAATGGAAAAGCGTCGCAAATCCAGTCGATTCCTCCAGAGTCCTTTTCAGAAACCTTTCCAGTTTTTTTCTTAACTTTTGCAACACTCAAAACATTGGCATCAAAAATCTTAGGTTCTCCCTTCATGTAGCTAACAATCGTCTTCTGAGTGTGCACAGTGTGTTTCTCTCCAATTTCGTATACATGAACCTTTTTATGATCATATCATGTATTTTATTTTCTTAGGAAACAACTGAAGATGATGTTGATGCAGAGCTGGGCGTTCTAAGGTATGACATGTATTTATATCAAGAATATTGAATACATTAGTGATAATATAGGAATACAATATGATTCCCTTTGCTTTCCATTGGGTAGCTGATAGTTTTAATATTATTGTATTATAATTGTGCTTTTCAGAACTCAACTTGGGTTTACTTACCAAATGCAAGGAGTAAATGATGATGCTATGAAGTTGTACAACCAGGTCCTTAAATCCAAGTAGGAATTGTTTTGTCCCGTGCTTAAGTAGGCTCAGTCTCCAGCCGTCGGGATTTCGTGCGCCCGCGATACTCTCTCCCCTGGCGCATGGGGTTCGATATTTTCAGGGGCATATCATTAATAAACTAGACCCTGACAGCAGGGTGTACTCGTGCCCTAAAGGTGTTGAAAAGTCCTGTCTTATTCAGTACTTTTTCAAAATGAGCTCATTTAAAACTTTTCTTGTGTTTGACCAACCATGTAATATACTGTCTTTCTCAATTTTCAAAAATAGYTCGACCGAGTTGACGCTCTAAGGAGGGTCTGGTTTGTAGATGTAAAGAATAGTGCTACCAAAGGCATGCAGTTCATCTATACTGATAAATCACAAAGTGATTTGAAATCAAACTATATTAAGAGAAAACATTTGTGAAAGTACTCCTTGTTGATTTACTTTTCATGTAATATTTAGCAGCTTTTGAAGGAACTAGATATACAATAATTTTTGACAAATCTTTAAAAGCGTAGAATCAAATCGTTCACTCTGATAGTCTTCCGCGTGAAACATAGTAAGAATATTGTAGTAATTTAAAGGTCAAGTATACTACAGTATCAAAATCAGACAGCTCGGCGCCGTGTGGCGAGCGATCTTCGCAAACAGGAAGGGGCCGCTCTATAACCATACRTGATCGCTTCAATGATCTTCATCTAGGAATACTCATCTGTGAATAGCATTGTTTTCTTTAACCAGAAGAGACAGAATCCCTCATCAAATTAGAAAATATAGGCTATGCAACTCAGAATCAGACAGCCACGTAGTCAGCTACGAAGTATCGGTTTATATCTCGCCAAGGAAAATGAACAATTTGGCTCGATACACCAACCTTTATGACCTAAACCAATGTCCTAATACATGCTCTTACACAGATGAATGTTTTGGAAGTAACAAAAGGCCTCGAATGTCAAAGAATTACTAAAAAACTACAGTAAACCCCGGGCAGTTATTGCTGTTCAATGATACGATTGTTTAGAGTACTGGTTCGTATGTAGAAGAGCTGTCGATCGTATAACTTGAGATCTCTTYGCCTTTAACAGAAMACTTTCCGCTATCCCAAATACTCAGATGAGTAATAAGCGGCAGAGTCTGACCTSAACAGTCGATAATTCCGAGTTTTGAAGAATAATTGTTCAATTCAAAGTGCGTGCTGTATGAGACATCCACGGGCTTCATTTATCTACGAAGTATTGATTTATATCTCGTTAGTTTAAAAGATACAGTAAATCCCGAGCAGTTTTGCTGTTCTATGATACGCTTGTTTACAGCCGAGTTCGTAATGTGATATTTCGTTTAGAGATCGGAGTGCGATCGGGGACAAAGGTACACCCGAGTTCGCAATGTGATATGCATTCGGGACGCAAAGGTCAGCCCGAAGACAAATGTCTCACATAGAAAAAAAAAATAACAAAACTAAACTCGCTGCATTTTCTGACTCGTGACCTGGCCAAGGGCCTGGTCACGAGTAATTAGCAGGCAGCCGTCGTCGCAGTGTAACAAAATGGCGGACAATTCGTCTTTTGAGATTCTCGTTTGAACGCTCTGAAGTCGTTTAGCTTGGACGAATTTAGAGAAATACAGCAAAAGGCTCTTAAAGAGATTGTTCTTGGAAAAGATGTCCTTGTTATTCTTCCTATTGGCTCGGGCAAATCTCTTATTTTTCAAACAGCGCCACTAGTGTATTTTTCTCGTCTTTCTGGCAGATAATATATCCATTTGGATTATTAAACCCTACACATGTTTTACTTGGGGTAATTTCCATTCCTTTCTCTTTTTTAAAGCGCTAACTATTACATTATATCGCCACTTCGCGAAGTTTTCATTTCACATAATTTCCTGTCTTGTAGCAAAACCCTTTTAATACGGCTGTTGTCAGATATTTCACTTCCGTTCACTGAAAAATTCACTTCCGTTATTCATAATATGCTAATTACACAAAAACGTCACGGACATGCGCGACACGTTTCGAACCCCATGCGCCCAGCCGTCAGGGGAGAGAGTATCGCGGGTGCACGAAATCCCGACGGCTGGAGATTGAGCCTAGTGCTTAAGATGATTCTTTTCATTTATAATTATTCAATTTAATTTATAATTTATTTAATTATCGATAAWCACTAATACATCTGTGAAAATTTGAGTGCAATCGAATCGAAATTTGTGACGTAGTTGTAGTTTAAACATACGCGCGAAACGTTATTTATTACGATCGAAACACCTTAATCACCGTCGCAGCACAGTACGGTCACAGCACGAAAGTCCGTGTTTTTTGCACAGTCATACGAAAWCCGCTCTATTTCCTTATTCTTCAGTTTAATTATCTGTCAATCYCATACCCAGAGCCTGTGTTACTTTTGGTTTGCGGCAAGTACTTGGGCTCTGGAATATTCGAATACCGGAACAATCTCGTACCCAGAGCCGCCGTTCCTCTTGGTCAGCGCCGAGAAACGTTTCTCGGCGCTGACCAAGAGGAACGGCGGCTCTGGGTACGAGATTGATACCGGAAGCCAGAATCAGGCTATTTCACCCATGCGCAGTAGAAACCCGATTTTTTAACTGCTTTATTTAACTGATTTTACTCAAAAAAATTGGCTAAATGAAAGCCTTCGAAGTCAGAAAAGGACCTTAGACCTTGGACGATAAATCTATCTTCTTCCAAGCTACTTTGATATCTATTATAATCAGATCGTAGCCAGTGATGGTTAGCGATTATCATGGCAACAGTAGTAACAGTTCGTCGCTTCGCTGTATTCCATTTTATTCTTTAATTGATCATATTACTCTCAAATGCCCACTTCACAGACTTAAAAAGTGCTTTTAAAGGAAGAATTCAAGGTGAGGTAGCGAAATATAGAATGATTTTAATGCCTTTCTCAGTGATATTTTCACTTCCAGCAGCAAGTGTGTTCATTTTATTAGCCAATCAGAGAGCGAGAATTTTCATGTTTAGTTTAAAACACGAGAGAGAGTGTTTTATTAGCCGAGAATCWTTATACCTGATGAAACACGATCTCGAATTTTTTAAACGGCTTAAAAAGCTCCAACACTGAATTTGAAACTCAAATCCGTTAAAATTTTGGAGAAATTGCCGAAAAATAAGTTTTGAGATAAATGGGGCAAACTGATCATGCGCGATTCACAATACAAAGCACTTTTGTCATCCCACAYTGAATACGCATAAAGTAAGATAGAAGTTCTGATGACTGTTTTACTGCAATTGGTTGACACTTTGTCAAACATCATGTATCAAACCTGAGACCTTTGCTATGGCCATTGACCTTACCATTGACCTTACCATTGGGAACGTTACCGGCCATCTTGGCCACTGTTGACACTTATTAAGGAATCACTGACACTTAAAACCACTCACTTGCATCCATGAACATTTAATCAACTCCATGGTCTCCAATACAAGTTTCACAAAATGATTTCTACGTGATTCTCCATTCCTTACATC